ATATCGGTCAAAAATATTTTTATCCAAGACTGTACGCTTAAGGATGTTCAAGCTATAAAAAAACACATTAATATGTCCCGGTTGGCCGAGTTCAGCTTGGGCAATTAAACTTCTTTAGGTCTACTTCTAACTTAATTATGGCATTAGGAAGTAAATGAAAGTGGAAACGTACATAACGATGTCGGGCACTAGGACCTTTTCTTCCAGAAAATAGAAAACATTTGACGCTACTGGCAAATAAGCAGTTCCTAAAACTGATTTATTTAATTCTATTATTATATTATTATCTTAGTTTTATTTTATTTGTAACATAAAGTTCATACTTTAAGATTAATTTAAGGAATTGAATATATTTTATTCAAATTAGAGGACAGTTCTGAAAATTGAAGTACCTAATTTATAAATTTACGTATTATTTCAACTTTTTCTTAATAAATTTATTGAAATTTTAATGGTGGACAAATTAAGAAAAAAATACACTACTTTGGGAGATAAAAGAATTGCATCTAAAAATGGATACAAAGAAAGAATACAAAGAACGATAATGTAAAAATCCGTACTTGTTTGTGTTTTATTAAAATGCTTTGAAATGTAATTTTCAAGAGTATTTATTAAAAAAAAAACTTGAAACACAGGCATACGTTTTGAACATTTTTGCTCCCATATACGTTTGTACCTCGCAGTCAGCGAAAAAATTAGAGGGAACATTGGTCATAATGACTACTATCACTATTTAACCTGAAATTAAACCTTGAACATATCTAAGAATTAGTTTTTCCGTTTTGAATTTAATTTGTTATGTCAAAATGTCATAATGACATTTCGCACAACTTTTCCACTCTTTCCATTTAGATAATCTGAAAATCTCAGTATCTGCTAAGTACTTTGCTCCAACTTAATATCTAACAATTTCTCTTATGGAGTTTTTCTCGTACACGCTATTGTAGACGAAATTTACGGAACATAAACGCCAAGCTCCCACCCACTCGTGACCATAATTTAATAAATGGAAACAAAAGAAAGCGGGCGTAAGGGAAAATTCGGGTTCAACGCCCTGAAAGGTTAATTAGGCCCGTTATATACTTGGGGCTTGTAACAACGGTATTCAATTAAGTAGATGGTGAAAATGACGCGGATAACTTCCTTTACTTTCATTAATATCAATTTTGTGGGCTGCTTTACTTCTACTTCTCGCGAAACCCTATGCCTACTACTATCTCAAAGTAAAGTTGGTGGTTGTTCCCTTGGAATTCTGTTAAAGATGAAGATGTTAATAAATTAGACTATCATAAATGATTGTAATGTTTTTTCTCAATTATTTTGATAATGCAACTAAGAAAATATTGTCTTATTCCATTTTTATCTTTGATTTCCAAGAGGTGATTGATTCTAAGTAACATTCACTCCTATAGTTCTGATATTTCCTATTTATGTAGCCCTTAGTACATAAAGGAGTACATTATATATTATTTTTTAAGGATAAATCTGTCTTTTTATAAAGGCTGTTTCAGAAAGACCTCCCGTAAATACAGGGGGCGATAGTACGTCTAAAAATAAGATTTTTAGTCTTATGACCTAAAAGCCTATCTCTTCAAGTTTTCGAAATATTATAGTGACAAAATAAAATTTTTGAAATGGAATTTTTGCGAAAATTTCCAAACAGTACGAAATATTTTTATGAAAGGTGGTATTCCGGGATTTTTAAGGACGCCAAATACGCTGGTCTAATTATTTTTTGGATATTTCAGAGAGGGCGCTAGTATTCCATAAAAGTAATGGTATTTTTTAATATCTTGAAAGCGAATTTAAGCAAAACTTAGTATGACATGAATAGGTAGTTTGTCGCAATATGAGTATACACCGTGTCCACCTATACTCCGCGGTCGAAATTATAAAGAGTGACTAAGACATAATATAAAAACACTATTACCATAATGCGTATAAAATATAAAATGATTTTTATATGGTTCAATATTATTTATCTTTGTGTCGCTCGCTACGCACATCGATAGAATCTATAATCGTCTAGAGACCGAGTTACACTGAACGTCGATCTATATTCTATCTCTGTCTTTTGCACTTGGTAGGGAATAGGGAAATGCTTTTTCAGTGGGTGTAAACGGACTTGATTTAACCCGTCCTGAGAAACGTCATAGCATAAGCGTAGACGAGGGGTCTAATTCCAGGGCTATAATAAATTTATAAATTAAAAAAAACACATTTGGGACGTTTTAAAATGCTGTAATAATTAAAATGGATCAATGTGCCTGTTATAGCAAACCGTAAAAAATATTAGATGTTATGTTTTATTATATTTTTTCATTATTTTCTATATCTTGTTGCCTTTTACGCAGACACGCCAATGGATTTTCGTTCCCGGCATGCTTCATCCTCCTTACTAGTCCAAAAGCTAGGGATGAAAAAAAAATAATTTCTAGCTCTCATATAACCATAATTATGTCAACTACTAGAAGTGACGAAAAAAAAATTAAAAGTCGATTATCTCGAAAACTACCAATATTTTAATAGGGATCATAACACAAAGTCCCGTTAATTTTTCACGTAGAATTCGATAATGCCATAAAAACTATAGGTTTCTATTAAAAAAAATTAAGTTGGTACCTGCCCAGGAAAAACTGAACACCCTGTATATGCAAATATATTTTCATTTTGTGCAGCTCGGAAAAGTAGGCAACTCTGTAGAAAAAAATTAAGTTATATATTTTATTAACCTAGATATTGGACTTACGCGCACTAGGTGGACACGGTGTATAGTGGAGGAGATATGGGTAGGCGGTTTTATTAAATCGACATATAATTTGTTACAACCCTGAAAAAAATGAAACCTGGTACTATTTTTGAATGTAATATTCTAACCTGGACAATAATTGTCTCTTGGAGCTTTCATATATTTGCTTCTGTTTTATGACAAATTAAGTTTATTTAATTTCTCCTCGTAAAATATATGTAGGCTGTTTTAACCCCTATGGATTATTCCATTTGGCGCAATTAAACAAAAAGTATACTTTTTACTCTTTATTAAGGTATTAAGCTAATTCAAACAAATCCCATCAAACGAAGTCAAACAACATTCTGCGATACCAGAAATCTAGGTATGTAAAAGACATCAAACCTCACAGACCAGACTGCTAAATATTGGTTCTGCCGAAAACAACTAGTCTATGGGCTACATGCCCAAACTATTATTGAATTACACCACACTAGTATTGACGTTTGTAGTTTTGTACACCCTTTCCATTTTGTATTTTGGATTAGTCGACTTTATTTCGGAAAGTGTAATTTAAGTTTCATTCAAAATTGTTTTAACTCAAACAGTGTACATTGTAAGTGAAGCCATTTGTATTTAGGAAGATTTTATAATTTGTAAAATGTACATCAGAAAAATATTTAAAATGAATTATGCAATACAGTTGTGTTCCTGTATGGGTGGATGTATATTACCGCTATGAAAATGTTTAATCGAATATTGGAAACATCATTTTGGCTTATAATTAAATCTTTACAAAATATGTAATTTTGGTTGAAAATGTAATAATATGTATATTTGTACAGTAATATATGGTATTTAGGCACAGTAACAACTGATTGGATATTTTAAATAAATACATATAGCAGATGTTAATATAGAAGGTACGCAGTAGTTATATATTATTTAACTAAACTAAACCCAACCTGATCTAACTTAACCTAATCGGATCATCATTTGGAAAAGCAAACATCTATACTAAACATAATGTAATCGTTACTGAAAGTATATTATTTCTACTGTGCATCTAGCATTTTTTTTAGCAGGGTGTTTGGAAAATATTTTATCTATTTAAATACCCCCTAAAACATTTGACATAGATTGATGAATTATAGGCAAACATTTCCAGAGTTGAGCACAATTCTGCTAACTGTGGTGGAGATACTGGAGATACCATCACCAAGCATTCTTAAATTTCAACGCTACTGAATATTTGTAAACTGAATTAGAACTGAGGGTTGCTTTTGCTGTACAGCAAGAATAAAACGCTCTCTCAACGGTAATAACAAAGAATTTTATTGAAAACTAATGTATAGAAAACTTGTATAGGAAAAGACGTGTTGACGGGGTGAGTGTTCGTAGGAGAGTCTCTGTGTGTGGAGTCGGCCGTAGGTATATCGCTGGCAGAAGTCCCTGGTCCTTGGCGCCACTCTGCCGGGGTCGTCTTCCGGGAACCCAGTGATGCGTCCGGCGCCGTTCTTGATGTAATGCTTAAAAATGGGTCACTTGCGAACATGTGTACCCAGAGAACATTTAATTCCAGATGGTATAATATCTTCCATTTCCGTCGAAAAACGAACCATTTTCGAGAGATTATTTTAAAATTTAAATTGAGACTTCGAAAAAACTAGTTGTATCACCAAAATAAAATAGATTTTTTTTTTGGTAAAAATCAATTTTAATGAAAATATAATCCAAAATAATTTACAATTTTTTAAGAGATTTAAAATCCCTAAGCAATTTTTTTTGGGATTTTCATAAGTACATTATATTAAAAATTTAATTTGTTTTTACAACTCTTTTTTTTGCGATACAAATACTTCTGAAGTTATTTTTGATTTTCAACTATTTCAGTGGCGCCGCAATTTTGGGATTCTTAGTGACATTATCTCCCAACATCTCCGCTACTAGCAGACATATTTGTGTCATTGCCCCAATTTTTATGTACAATAAGTAAATGTAATATTTTTTAATTCTCAATACTCTATTCTTCGAAATTGAAAATGTCTTTCTCCGAAAGCAAATATAATTCCCCTTACGCAAATTTTAGTAAAATAATTATCTTCCAAATAAGACTTTCAGTATCTTACGTACACATACCACTATTTCTTTATATTTCAGCACCGGAAAGTTGGTTTCAGCACCGCAAATCCTTCCTTTCTAATTCTGAGAGCACAATGGCACATGGGGTCAGAATCCGTCACGACTTATATTAACTTTTGCCTCATTTCAGGTTGCGGTGAGTTCCACACTAGGATGAACAGAATAGTCGGAGGACATTCTACAGGATTCGCATCACATCCGTGGCAAGTTGCTCTAATCAAAACGGGATTTCTGACTAAGAAATTGGCATGCGGCGGAGCGCTACTGAATGAGAGGTGGATCGTCACAGCGGCGCATTGCGTGGCCACGTAAGTTAAAAATTAATAACAACAGTACAAGTAGTGATGCTCTTTCCAACCCAGTTTTACACAAAAATATTTTTTGTATAACGTTTATATATTACGTGTCTATTTGTTGTGATGAATATCTTTTCTCGACGACTGTCATAAAATATTGATACTTCAATACTGCTTTCTAGACGTCAAGAAAACACTTTAGTTAAGTGGTACAAAACTAAAAATTGACATTTATAATGTTACGTGTCAAAAACACTTTTAACACTAGTGTAAAAAAACTGTTAAAACTAGTGTTAAAAATAAAATGCTATATATTATATAGTAATAAGCATTCTTCTCTAGATAATAGAAAGTTATATTGATAAATTTAGAAAGAATATATCAATTATTTAGAAACATTAATACATATTTTTATCGGAACAGTTATAAATTATTTATTTAGAAACAATAGTATTAATATTACAACCCGAACAGTAACTTATGTTAATTCCCTGAGAAGTTATTACGGAGGTATTCAGTTTAACTGCAATACTATCGACGACGTCATCTGATGACGCTTATGTCAAGGTAGAAGGCTTCTCTAAAGCAATTGCGGCTTTAGAAGAGGTACTGGTACAGGGAAGAATTCTCTCAGCAATTTTTGTTTTATTTGTAGCAGAATCCTTGATGCAACGACTGATCATTTCCATCCACCATGCCGTTTTATTGTAATCTTCGGAAACAATGTCCAGTAAACTGCTTCGGATCTAGCAATTTAAAAAATTCGACAATTTTAGTAGGAATCCTCCCAAAAGTATTTATCCCAACAGGTTGAACAGTACATTTGTCGTTAACGTAATTTAGAACAATGCTGGCCTTAATATTGAATATTTATGGTAATAATTCATGTAGCTTCCAATGATACAAAAACTTCGACGAACGTTGGTTTTAATCTCCAAAATATGAATCAATAAGGAGTTTTCTGATTTTTCAATATCATTCGATGTTAATTTACAACGCTCCTCACGACGGCATGTTCATAATAAACTAAAAATTGATGCAACTTCTATCATTAGATATGTGGTGTCTGGAGCTTCATTAAAAAATGTATTAATTTTTGTTATTAATGTTGGTATTAATAAAAATTTTCGATTTTTTGACCGATATCCTACACTTTTCCGTTTTAAGACGCGTTTTTTTAAGTTCACGTTTTTTTTTAAGCATTATTTGATGCAGTTGGTTATGAAATCTGTATGTAAAAAAATCGCCGAGATAACCGCCCTAGTTACCGTATTTTTTTTTTTGGTTTTTTGTTTATAACTTTTTTATTTTGCAACTTAAAAATCTGAAATTTACACAGACGGGAGATAATGTAATTACCTTTAGATCTTTTTTGCCAAATTTCGATATCTTGACTTGGGCAGAAGATATACGCGTACGCGTTTTCGACTTTATAATTTTGCAATAGGCCGTCATTTTGAAATTGGAGGTCCGGATTGCGGGTATTTGTTGAGTACCCCAACAGTTATCTTTTCTTGCAGTTTAATCCAATTTCAGCCAAATTCGGTCTTTTTATTCAATGCTGAAAATTTTGTTCAATTTTTTTTCACCGCTAATTTTACAATGTAAAAAAAATTACACAAAATACACAACATTAGGCATTTATTATGTGAATTTTTTTACTTAATTTTAAGCCCATAAAATTCGAGGTAGGTCCGATTTTTAAAACGGGCATGTGTTTGGTCTAGTTCGCCCGGATTATATATCCACGTTGTTCTTGATTCGCAAACTAGCTTTTATCATAGAAATATTACACCACAGTGTTGACGACTTCCATAACTTATATTTCTTCGAAGTAAGCGAAAAGTATATTTTCAGTGAACTTATCTGCTACTTTCTTCATTTTATACCATTCAATAAGTCTTTTATATGTTATAATCAAATTGTTGCCCCGATTTTTGGGGCAAAAGTTGGGGCTAAAGTTGCACTATTTGCGGATTCTTCAGCATCTCATGGAATAATAAAATTTCTTTCATATCCCGTATTCAAAATCCATTTTCTTTTAGCCACAAAATTTACATTATTTAAGGACGTAGTTACTAATAAACTTTAAGCAACTTAACTGTTTTATTTAGTTACCCTTTATGTAGTACATGACTTAATATAGGTATATACTTTATTGTCACATACATATGTAATTGAAACGGACGGGTGGCTCAGTGTAACACGTCCATTACGTAAGCCATAGATCAGGAGTTCAAACCCACAGATGGCATTTTTTAACAGTTTTACAATACGCTCGTTCCGCAATATTCCCCACTCACAAAATAAAATATCACTTTTAATACTTGTATCATAAATAACTATTTATATTGTAGAAAAAATCTCTTCTTGCCCCTGTATCTACTAATTAATTTAATTAGATAAATTATTTCAATAATATGACTATGTTTGTAAATCGATTTATTTTATTTGAATATATTTTGCAACTCAAACTAATCTACTACTATTATTTCGTTGTTTGAAAATTACAAATTGAGGTTCGCAATATTACAGTGGAATACCATAATTATATTATTTTGAAACTATTTTTCAATCGATTATGAAGTATGTACCGATGCTGACGGAGTAACTGAATCAGAAACTTCCACCGCTTTTGAAGATATTCTATTTAAAAGTTTTTTATTCTCAGTACAGTCTAGTAGGTCACTGAACTTCCACAGTCATATCTTTTGATCGAAGTCTACCCCAGAATCAGATAAATCGTCGCAGAGAAGCATGTGGAATAGTGCTCCATGTTTCTTCGATTTCTTTATTAATACCAGGCCTTTAATTGACCTATATGTTCCATTAGCTTAACCAAAAAAATAATCTTTAATTTTTAAGGACTCTGAAGTTTCATAGATGGGAAGGGAAATGGAAATGGTACTGCTCAAAAGAGTAGAAGATACTAAATATAAATGCGTAACTATACAAAGTTGTAGCAACTTAAAGCGATCAAAAATAATTAGAATAAATCATTGTCAACTAAAATTCTGCCTGTCTATTCTGTGTCTATGATTCTTTCTTTTCTTGATGAGGAAAAGACTTTTCAAACGTCACAAGAACTATGAACGAATGTCAATTTTTCTCTAGCTTTTCTAAAATTTAAAACAATGACACATTTTATAGGGGAAATTTTGTGCAAAAACTTTGAATGATACACATTTTCTTGTATGGTTCGGTGCTGTCGATACTCAGTAGTTTAACGATTTTTAAACTTTTATATATGATAGAAGAAACACAAATGTTTTGGTTGCATTTCATTAGAGGTTTTTTTGAAAGTTGAATCATTTTAAACTGTTAATTAGGATAGTACTGATTAGACATTGTTCAAATTTTGCTGGTAAGTAACTACTGTGAAATGCATTGAACCAAGCTCAAAGCTTTTATCAACAACTGTTTTTGAGTAATTAATTAAAAAGTGTGTTTCACATTTCGTCTTTGAATGATCATAAAACCTTCAAATTTTTAGGAAAAAATCTTACAATTTTATACGTTTTTGTAACAAACATGTACATATGTTATTTATAATTTATAACAAAATATGAATGCAATATGCAATTCTGAAGAAGAATTCAAAACAAATTGTACTACTCCAATATTTATACCAAAATCTTGCCGATAAATAGATGTTGTTCCCTCTCAGTTTCCAAATTCAGAAACAACAAAAAACGTAAACACAAAAGGATTCGCGTTTCGTTTTTAATAAAAGATTCGACACCGTTTCCAAGAGCGGTGTAAATCTTGGACGGTGCAAGCCAGGTTTATTAAATATTCCTCTTTTATTTTCTCCAGGACCGCAAATGGGAATATTCGCATAAGGCTCGGGGAATGGGACGTGAGGGATCAAGAAGAGAAACTACCTTACGAAGAATTCTCGGTAGAGAGGAAGGAGGTGCACCCGTCGTATTCGCCGTCCGATTTCAGGAACGACGTGGCGCTCGTCAAACTGGATAGAAATGTTAGATTTAAGCAGCATATTATTCCTGTCTGCCTACCCTCCCCAACCGTAAGTACAACATATATTCGATTTAAGGTGGTAAAACTGTATAAATACGACTGCTCTAAAGTTCCACTTTTTGTCATCGTTATGCGCTTTTATCTTTAAAACGGCTTTTCCTAAATACACGGTGTTAAAAAAAGAGTGTAAAATATTTCAGGAGGTAATAGTATGAACCAAAGTAAGCAGAAAAGTCTTAATAAACATGGGTCCGCAAAGTAACGGTTGCGGAGATATGGACCACTATTCGTTTTTCAAACATTTTATTTTATTAGGAATAAACCGACAAAGGAAGCTTTTAACAAACAAAAAACAAAGTTACAGAAGATGTTCAAAGTGCCCTCCGTCCATTTCCAAGCAGGCACGACATCTTCGTCTCAACGATATTCGAACTCTTTCGAAAACACCCTCCTTGGTTTGGATTTCTTGACACTTTTGATTAATCCGTAGCTGCAGCTCTTCCAGGCTATTTACAGGAGTACCATACACTAATGTCTTCAAATATCCCCAAACAAAGAAATCTAGAGGGTTCAGATCAGGCGATCTTGGAGGCCATAAAACAGGTCCGGCCCTTCCTACCCATCTATGTGGAAAAGTTTGGTGTAAATGCTCTCTAACGGCCATGGAAAAATGAGCTGGAGCACCATCATGCTGGAACCACATTTGTTGCCTCTGATTCAAAGGAATGTCTTCCAAAAACTCATACAGTGTGTTCTGCAGAAAGTTGAGGTAAGCAGCGCCTGTTAATCGGTTTGGTAAAACAACAGGACCTAGAAACCTGTCACCTACAATACCCATCCAAATGTTTAATGAAAAACGTGCCTGATGTCCAGATTCTATTAGAGCATGAGGATTTTCGTCGGCCCAAATATGCGTATTGTGAAAATTAAACACTCCATTTCTTGTGAACCCGGCCTCATCAGTAAAAAGAATGTTTGCAAGAAAACGAGGGTCTTCAGCATCATGACGTAGAAACCAGCGGCAAAAAACCAAACGTGCTTGATGATCATTTATTGGATTTAAGGCCTGTACTCGTTGCACATGGTATGGATAAAGCAGTTGCTCGTGAAGGATTCTCCAAACAAGAGGACCACTAATTCCTACCTCGGCTGATATTCTCCGCACACTCGTACCTGGATTCTGCTCTACCAGTGCTAGAATTTCTTCTTCTGCTCTAGGAGTGGATACCGACCTTGGTCTTCCGGATAAATGGCACTGTTTGCTCAAGGAACCGGTATCACGCAATCTTTGGTGAATTCTTCCAAACATGCGTTGTGAAGGAATCTGGCGATTTGGATAAGCGTCAACATAAAGACGTCGCGCTTCGGTGGCGTTCCCATTAGCACGACCATACATGAAATGCATGTCTGTTAATTCTGCGTTAGAGTAACCAGCCATAGCGAAAGAAAACTTGTGCACTGAGAACAACTGTCAAATACGTACTGTTTATTTCACTAAACATCAACCAACTATTATAAGAAAATACACAACGTTTTTGCAAAATAAAAAAAGGGGCTAAAAAACATAAAACATTCCATATCTCCGCAACCTTTACTTTGCGGACCCATGTTTATTGAGACGTTTCTGCTTATTTTGGTTCATACTATTACCTCCTTAAATATTTTACGCTCTTTTTTTAACACCCTGTATTTTTTTCCGTAAAAATGTTTCACGTTGTTTCGATGGAAAATAAGCGCTAGAACAGTTTTGTTACATACTTTTGATAAAACTTTAAATGTTGTACCAAGATAATACGTATAATTTTGAAATGTCCGAGCTAGGAACTTGTTGGTAGCCAACAAGGACCCAAGTTCACACAGCAATTGGCAGTAAACATTAAAATATGAAGTAATAATAGAATAAACATCAAATGATATCCCTTACAATGGAAGCAGGCAAAAACAAACACATTTAAACTGTCAAAAATAATTAAAAACGTAAAGTAATTATCAGTTCAGAATTCTATTTTGAATTAATTCATCTGCATAAAATTCTACCATCATTGATGACTTCCATACCTCTTCATCTTTAAACATCTCGTTCTGCATCTGTAATTACGGTTGCAGATGACCGTCTAAATTTATTGCCCAGTATAATTCCCATTAAACAAGATATCTAGCAATTTCGAGTGCAATTTCCCACAGGTGTTCATAGGCTGAACATAACACTTTCCATTACCGTAGTCGATCATGAGTTATTGCTGATCTAAATGTGGCGTATGTTCACAAATTTCAACCATATGTTTCTCGTTTCTCGTTCCGAGGTAAATAATAAAAATTTAGGTTTATTGGTTTTTTATGTTCCTATTTTCACTATTAATATATTATCAATTCACATTACTAAAGCATGCACCAATATTGCTACAAAAATTGCTACAAGCTAAAAAAATTAAAACATATCTACTATTATTAACTTCACTAAAGAATAATTGTATTTGAATTTAATTTTTTTTAAGTATGTGTTAATAAGTGCGTTGACATAATTATATATTTTATTTTTGATGAACACTTTCAATTTCTCATATGGCATCCTACAGACTGAAGCTTCATATAAGTGCTTAAAAATTTGCTAAAAATTTTCAGTTATCGGTGAAGCTCTCACCATGGTAAATTCCTACCAAAGTCTCGAGGGTTTTTCATGCTTTATCCTTTCAAGAAAATAAGTGAAAAACATATTTTCTATAAAATTCTTCTTTTTTCCCAAACACATCAATCGTTAAAATGTTCGTCCACTAATTAATATTGTTTTTCAATATTTTGATATTCATCTATATCACTATAATCATTATCAAATAATTTTAACTACATATTCTAAAGTGTACAATAAAGAATTACTTTTTATACTGGCATTTTAAATAAATATTAGATACGTAGAAAAAATGTTCTACTGAGATTAAATCAAGTAGTAAAAAAATGCATATACATTTAGTTAGTTTAGTTCACATGTAGTTGGTCGTCAGTAGTAGTTTAGTGTAGGAGAAATGCATAAATTTAAAATTTTAATATTTGTCTTTACAAAAATAACATCGTATTAAGAGAGAAGCTTACGATTTTCGTACCGAGTAATCCTCGCTTTTGCCCGTATAAATAATAATCTAATAGTAAAAAAAATCTGGAAAACCTAAAAATTACAATCTGTATGTAATTTTCTCACATATTTTTGTAATATATTACATAAAACAAAGATAAAAACAAAGAAAAATATATTTTCATGGTAACACATTCAGTAGGCGCTGACATTTATACGAGGGTGGTCTGAAAAGTTTCCGACCTAACAAAGATACAAGACATTGTTTCAGAAAAAATTTTTTTATCTTTCAACATAGTCTCCTTGTAACTCTACACACTTCTCCTAGCGATGCTCCCATCTCTGTAACCCGTCCAAATAGTACTCGGTGTTTTTCTCTGCAAAATAATTGTTCACGAAGGTGATTGCCTCTTCATTTGACGAAAATCTCTGTCCTCGAGCGCAATTTTTAGATGAGGGAACAAAAAGAAGTCGCTTGGGGCTAGATCTGGTGAGTAGGGCGGATGGTCAAGCAGTTCAAACCGTAATTCGTGGATTTTCGCCATGGCAACCGCTGAGGTGTGAAACGGTGCGTTGTCTTGGTGAAACAGGATTTTCTTTTTCTGCAAATGTGGCCGTTTTTCCGCAAGTTCTGCCTTCAGCTTGTCAAGTAATGATGCGTAGTATGCTCCTGTAATGGTTTTTTCTTTTTGAAGATAATCGATTAAAATAATTCCATGACTATCCCAAAAAAACAGTCGCCATCACTTTCCCAGACGAAAAAACAGTTTTTGCTTTTTTTTTTGGAGCCGGTTCCCCCTTTGCAGTCCACTGTTTGGACTGTATTTTTGTTTCGGTCGTATAATGGTGTATCCAAGTTTCATCTACAATAATTAATCGGCGCCAAAACTCGGATTTATTGCGCCTAAACTGCGCCAACAGAGGAAATGTTCATTCGAAGACGTTTTTGGTCTAACGTGAGCAAACGCGAACAACGAAATTCACTAGCTTTTATTTACGAGTGCTGCCATCTTCATGTTGAGGTCGGAAACTTTTCAGACCACCCTCGTATATAGGCAAGTTATTCTAAACTGATTTATATTGAACGAAGGAATCTTTTATATTACGTTATGCACGTATTTTCGACACACCTTGTATGTTCTATAAAAAGTTTTATCGGATGAGACACACTATTCTAGCATTGATTTTCCACGAAAATGACATAAATATTTTGCAGTAACAACTTTGCTTTAATTCGGAGATTACTTTTCGGCTAATTGGAAAAACATTTTTTCAGGGAAATGTCATTGCTGTTACTTCAAACAAGTAGAAAAAGTGGAGAACATTTTAGAATTGAATAAGTTATTACAAATTAAATTTACATGGATTTCACATTTGGATCATTGCTAATTCTTCAAATTGAAACAGATTTTAATGAGATTACTAAAAAGTATTATGAACAAGCTAATTAATAACTAAGTTTAAACCTGTATCATACATTTTCAACAGAATGGTGAAGTATTTAGTTCTAAAAAACGCAAGAGAATATTATGTTTGTTTGTTTGTTTATTCCTTTTTTCTGTATCAGCGTGTTTATAATTGTATTATCTTCTAGTTTATTTATGATTTGTACTCTACTGTACTGTAAACGACATAAAAACGCATTTTAATCCAAAAAATCTACTTTATATCGGGTGTTCTCAAAGTTTAGTAATTTATTTTAACAGCTGGTAGAACTCTTAAAAAAGTCGATTTACCAAAAATCGTTTATATAGTTGTTAAATAAAGCAATTATTAAGAATTTATTTTAAAAAATTGAAATTTAAAAACTTCAAGGATTTTATTTTTGGGCTTACTTTTGTTCTACACGTTTTATTTTTCAAGATTTCGGTACCTAAAAACGCCAGAAATTTGACTATTTTTCGGCCAGGGATATGGCCACCTTATGTTTTTCTTGGAATTCGATCTCAACAGATACGAACTGTATTGTTGATCTAAAGACAAAGTGCCCTTGTGTCACATGAGAGCGTTGGTTTGCATGTATAATATTTCCCATTTACAAGATATTGTTCCCTAATATAAGTATTTATAAATAAAAATGAATTTTCTAATATCTAATGATATTTAGCAGCAATAATTAAAAATAATAATAATTTGGAAAAATAATAATAATAAAATAACCATTACATGGTTCTTTTGAACTTCCCACAATGTATGTTTAATGAATGGGGTTAATTTCAGCTGAAACTGCCTGGAAAGATGGCCACGGTGGCAGGATGGGGTAGAACGCGGCACGGCCAAGCCACCGTACCCTCGACCCTTCAGGAAGTGGACGTGGAAGTGATACCAAACGATCGATGCCAAAGATGGTTCCGGGCTGCCGGAAGAAAGGAGGCCATACACGACGTGTTCCTCTGCGCGGGATATAAAGAAGTGCGTACCTAATTGAGATTTGGTAAAATTAAGTTTATCCGTTACGTTTTTCTTTTAAAAATAAAAATATCTGATACAAAAGCTCCTTAAAATACGTATAACATAACCAGAGGCGACTCGTTTTAAGGCGCCAGACAAACATGGCACCAATTATTCGTTCAATGTTTACTAGTTTTACCAAAATATTAATTTTTACATCAAATACCATGTAAGACACGACCTGTAAAATTTCCAGTCAGTGGAAGTCAGCCGATGTTGGTGTAGGTCATGGAACTGCGTATCTATTTTATTAGTTTACTTAAATGCCGAATATCAACTAGTATATTTCTATTAATTAATAAAATTGTCAAAATAACAAATATAAAAAAAAATATAAATTCTTCGAGAATATTAACAAAATAATTGAATCCTATACGGTGTTGTACAGGGTTATTCATGTAACATTTTACCCCCCTTAACTTTTTTATTTTTCGGGTCAGACAAAAAAAAATAGTTAATATAAAAGTTGTAGGGAATGTATCTGTGAGTTTAACGAGTTTACAAAATTAGATATTATACAGGGCGTTCCAAAGATACGAACCAAACTTATGTTATTTTAAACGGAACACCCTGTATATTATTCGATTTTCGGAATCTCTGCCTCTTCCTGATTCCAACAATGTATATATGTTGTAGGTTTACTTAATAATTTGCTCAATATTCTTTCTATTGAAAGACTGAATCTCGCCATGAAAAATAAATATCAAAATCGGTATGTAAAATAAATGTTTTTATAGAACCGACTTAACACATGTAAAACTATTTTCTGCACTCCTTTGAAAATAGTTATAACTTTTATAGTATTGATGAAAAAAATGATATTGTTGAATGTCATCTTTCTTGTGAGAATAATGTAATGCGCTCTAGACGCGAGTCTACACGAAGATTCCCCCCAAGACCTATACCTCATAAAATATATACAGGGTAGCCCATCGAAAACGTGCCGCAAGGCATTACAGGGTAGTAAAGAATTTTTCGGCAAAATCCAAAAACAGGTCAAATTTGTTTCTGAGGGGGACAACTTTTGGCTCAAAAAGCATACCAAAATCTTCAACCCCCTAACTGGGGGTGCTATAGCCTAATTTTTTTCAAATGGGAATGGGGTCAAGTAGAGGCTCATTAGAAAGAGCTTTTAATTCTCTATACATCCATTCTTACTTTTTGAAAATAGAATCATTATTTTAGAAAATATGCAGCTTTGAAAATACGAACAATATTTTTGACGAGAAATGCGAAAATCGATTTAATTTTACTTCAAAACTTACGGTATTAGCTTGGTAAATTCCTTCAAAAGAATTCGCTGTTTTTTTTCTGATTTGCGAATTCTTTAGCCTGATTTTGGTGAGCAAAAAATTGTCCGCTTTTTGTTTCGTATTTAGATAGGCCACAAGAAGTTGCTAGATAACTGTCTTGTGACTTGTAGTTGAAGAGTACCAATACTGCCGAGTCTTTTAAATTGATTAATTATGGTGTACTCAATTCCAGAAAGAGTAGAAATTATTGAGCTTTTTTTCAAAAACAATGAATGCGGAAATCGGGTCGCCGAACTGTTCAACCAACGGCATCCTGAGAAACATGCGTCTGGAAAAATTGTTCGCGAATTGGTGGCCAAATTTCGCGAAACTGGCTCCGTTCATAACAAAAAGAGGCAGGTTGAAAATCCGGTACTAAATGAACCTACGGAAATAGCGGTATTGGGGCAAGTGGCAATGGATAGTACGCTGAGTACAATGCAATTGGCTACTGCGACAGGAGTGAGTCGTACAAGTGTCCAACGAATATTAAAAAAATACAAATTCCATCCTTATAAGATTCGGCTAGTGCAAGAGCTAAATGAAGACGATTTTGATCGTCGTTTGCAATTTTGCGAAATAATGACTGAACGAGCGATAAACGATAATTTCCTCTTTAATGTGTGTTTTTCGGACGAGTGTACGTTCTTCTTGAATGGTTTAGTGAATCGCCATAATTGTCGTTACTGGGCTGATACCAATCCAAGGATTTTCCATGAGACACACTCCCAACACCCCCAGAAGTTGAATGTATGGGCAGGTATTTTTGGAAATTCCATTGTAGGTCCTTTTTTCCTTCCTGGAAATTTGACAGGCGATATGTACTTGGATTTACTACAAAATGTCATCGACCCAGCTCTAACAAATATCATAGAGGACGACCCTGCTTACAATGAACACGAACTGATTTTCCAGCAAGACGGAGCTCCTCCACATTACTCGCTCAATGTGCGCAATTACCTAAATGAGACGTTTCCAGGACGCTGGATAGGACGAAGAGGTGCAATTGAGTGGCCCCCTCGGTCACCCGACTTAAATCCTTTAGATTTCTTTCTCTGGGGGCACATTAAAAGCAAAGTTTACAGCACTCCACCTGATACCTTGGAAGATCTGCGAGGACGAATCATTAATGTATGTCGCGAAGTAACACCGCAAGTGCTCCAGAATGTTCGACAACGGTTTGAAGACAACCTGTATCATTGTATGCAAGTTGGCGGACAACATTTTCAGCATTTACTTGACTAATACCGTAAGTTTTGAAGTAAAATTAAATCGATTTTCGCATTTCTCGTCAAAAATATTGTTCGTATTTTCAAAGCTGCATATTTTCTAAAATAATGAATCGATTTTCAAAAAGTAAGAATCGATGTATAGAGAATTAAAAGCCCTTTCTAATGACCCCCCACTTGACCCCCATTCCCATTTGAAAAAATTTAGGGGATAGCACCCCCACTTAGGGGGTTGAAGATTTTGGTATGCTTTTTGAGCCAAAAGTTGTCCCCCTCAGAATCAAATTTGACCTGTTTTTGCATTTTGCCGAAAAAAACTTTACTACCCTGTAATGCCTTGCGGTACGTTTTCGATGGGCTACCCTGTATATCAGATATATCTACAACAAAATAAATGGAGAAATACTGGTACGGTAAAAAATAAGGAGAGAAGAAATAAACCCCACAACATTATAACTGAAAATATGCAAGTAATGATTTTACTTTACTTTCAAGAAAACTCGAAACTTTCGATTCAAGATGTTTTAAGGTATTTGGAAATATCCGGGAGTTCGATTCAAAGACTATTGAAAGTAAACAAATATAAACCATATTATTGCCTGGTACAAAAATTATATGGAAATGACACTAATAGACGGCGCGAGTTTTGCCAAATAATGCTAGACAGACATTTATTTACAAAATGATTCGTAATGCTGCTATTGACTCTATTACAACTATTACGACTTCTACCGTTACTACTACAATTACTAATAATATACTATTACTAAGTACACCAGCGTCAACGGTACTACTACTACTACTATTACTACTGCCATCATGTTTGATATTACTATTATTATTTGTTTTTATAATGTATTAGATTCTATCTTGTGGACTGATGAGGCCACTTTTACAACAAGTTGCAGTTTTAATACAAGGAATTCACATCACTGGGCGTCAGAAAATCCAGACCAATATATCTCTATTCAGAGGCAAAACGGGTCCAGTATTTTATCTCTTTGGTGAACTGAAATATATTGAACTTCTCAAAAGAGAAATATGTAAATTTGGTAAATGCTCTTGATGTGCAAAATATTGTCTGGCAGCAAGACTGCGTACACAGAACAAATGCCGTTAAGTAGTACTTAGACAATACTCATTTAAAATAGAGCATAAATATCTAATATTATAATTTTATTTTCCATAGCAATTTTTATATTGCCCATTGCGAGATTCAGTCTTTCAAAACAGAATATTGAGCAAATTGTTAAGTAAATCTACAACATACATACATTGTTGGAATCAGGAAGAGGCAGAGATTCCGAAAATCGAATAATATACATGGTGTTTCATTTACAAAACCATAAGTTTAGTGCGTATCTTTGGAACGCCTTGTATAGTTTTTATTTTCATAAACTTATTAAACTCACAGAAAGATTCCCTACAACTTTTGTCTTAACTATTTTTGTCTTAACTCAAAAAATAAAATAGTTAAAGGGGATAAAATGTTATATGAATAACCCTGTACAGGGTGATGATCAATAATCTCTTTTTATTGTAGTTAGATACTTTGTTTTTCAGATATTTGAATGGGGTAAAAGCAGATATGCGAAAAGTCCTGCTCAATCGAAGATATCAAAAAAAACAATTGAACATCAGTCTATAAAGATATGGGTTTATTCTTGAAGAACAATTGTTTTTCAGATAGTATATTATACTGATTATACAGGGCTTTTTACATATGTCAACATTTTCTCCCATTCAAATATCTCGACGCCGAAGGATTAAATTGCAATAAAAAAATAATTGTGGATCATACTGGACACTATGCGCATAAATTAGGCAAATCATACCCATCCATTCCATAGTACCACAGTCATTGATATTCTTAGATGTTTCTTTTTGGTTTATTCTTTTTCATCATTTATATGTCACAGCCCTCTGGATATCTATAAAAGACGTAAGACAGAGACCTTATATAAAAAAATACTTCCATTGGCCAATTTATGCAAAATTCTACCATGACATAAGTTCTCTAAAGACAGTCGTATTGTACAGAGTGTCTCATTTGGGTCTTTGCTGACATTATAACACATAAAAAATGTGTTTAGGCCTTCAATGCGGCCATACTGACATAGAGCAACCTGCTAATCTATAGGTACTACGAAAGCAAGTATATCATACTAGGTGAAACAAAATTTATATATTAATGATATTGTGGCAAACAACTTCTCTGCGGACTAACAACTAGCAAATAATTGCATTGAACTTGTAATCTACTAACTAAATCTTTAGACATTTCGGGAGTAATTTTATGTTGGTCAGGCCTGTTGTCTGCAGAGTAGTTCTTTGTCAGAATATCCTTCGTTTGTTTGGTTAATAATTTTAATCCAATCGAATTAATAGTTTTTAAGATAATATCATTTTAGGGTGGAAGAGACTCCTGCCAAGGGGACTCTGGAGGACCACTGACGATAACTGTGGAGGGCAGAAAAACCCTTATAGGGCTTGTGTCTTGGGGAATCGGATGCGGGCGGGAGCATCTTCCAGGCGTATACACAAACATACAGAAGTTCGTGCCTTGGATAGATAAGGTCATGGGCTGAAATATGACCCTCGTGCCACTGTACAAAGTCCAGTTAATATGACGCCCCAGGCGAGAAATCGGAAATAATCCGCGAAGTTGGTGATTTGTAATAATTAACGTTTGAGGGAAAGAAACATTATTACAAAGGAAAGTGAATAATGTTATTAAAGATATAACATTCTTTGGATGTAATATAATTTTTAAGGATTCGCCGCAAAATATACAGAGTGTTTCTAAAATAGGGTTCCAAACTTCTGCTGCGTTTATAACTTATTAAAATAAGCAAAAAAGTTCCTATTAACATGTGCCCTAAAACGCACCCTTAGGAAGTTATATGCCCTTAAAAGGGGTCAAACAAAACTTAAATTTTCCACTAACCACTTTTACTAACTAAACACTGCAAAGCTCAATTGACAGTTTATCAATAACTTAAATTGTTAAGCGTTGTGGCAACGTTAGTCTTTTATTTGTAAACTGATTTTTGTAATTTTTGGTCTAATAACTTAAAGAGCAGAGTAATTTTCAAACTCAATTTACTCGAAAACCATTGGAAATATCAATTTGGACAAAGATAATATTTTTTACATAAAATTGTTAAGATTTTATAAATCTGTAGAGAAAATTGTAAAAAAATTGAAATAAAAAAAATTACGGGCCGAAAACCCCCTTCACCAACCTAAATGGGACGCATATGATTGCATGTCGAAAAACCGAGTGGCCCATGTTATTTAACGTAAAAAGTTATGTAAGACCCATACATTTTTTTCTATTTATTTGCGACCGTTTTGTCAATAACAGAAAAAAAAACAGTTTTGTTTGAGCCCTTTTAAGGGCATATAACTTCCTAAGGGTGCGTTTTAGGGCACATGTTAATAGGAACTTTTTGGCTTAGTTTAATGAGTTATAAACGCAGCATAAGTTTGGAACCTTATTTTAGAAATACCCTGTATATCAATAGTAATGTGCTGAGAAACCACTTTTATAAACATAATACGAATATTATGTTTATAAAAGGTTGTCTTAAAAAATTACTTACAGCGAAGAAATTTTATTATTATCTATGCCATAAAGACATTATATCTTTCTAACTGCAAATACATTACATACCTCTCTATATTTAACAAGAAATACAGCACGATATTAAAATACCTAATATATTATATGGGTCACCAACTACGATAGTTATTTCAGTTTTCATTTGATTAACATTAATTGTACATTAAATAAAATAACTAAATTATGTGGGTTCAAAGTAAAAACTGGCAGAGGAATTTTTAACCATCACCACATTGTAAAAAATTGTCTAATATTTATGTTATTTAAAAATTATTTATTTGGTTGTTATAGAATATGTTACAAATTTAAGATAACAAGGTTTAAAAGTAACTTTTTATGCATTGTTTAACATTGTAACAGAATGGACAATCTAAAATTTGATTTTAGTTAATGGGAAAATGTATAAATAAAACTAATATTATACGTTCAAAAGATCACAATAATTTTCCAAAACAAAAACTGAAAATATTTCGTAATAAGTTTTTGAACATAATAAATGATGATAAATTAATATTTTAACAATTTTGTTCAAGAAGAACAAAAATGTATCTGAAACATATACGAAAGTTGAATAAACACTACAACTGTCCAACTTTTTCACTTGTGATATTTATTTATGAAACTTGACTTTATTTGTAACCAATCTGGACAGAGACGATAATTTCGAAGCATTCGTGCAATTTTTCTGAATCTTTTTCTGACTTTTTAATTAATGATTTCAATAATTAAAATGAAGGATTTAATAAATACATAAGTCAATCGTAATTCTGAATCACCTTTTCCTACGGGTAAGTTAGTCCATTCGAAACATTAATATCTATTAAATTTTCATGCGACAAGTTAAAATTTGGCATTAAGTGTAGTGATACAATAAAAACGAACTTGTGATCATTTAGTTAGTGTCGGCAGGGATTGCAACTGAATAGTGCAGTAATCTGTAAATCTGTATCAGATAACTAGTTATGTATTTATTAGCTGTTATTTTTTTACTGTAACATAAGGAATAAAGAATACTTTTTGTATAAAATACGTATTATTTCTTCCTTCATCAGCAGGTTGTGAAGGAGAATCTAAATGGAGTTTTGACAATAAGAGATCCTTCATGGTTTTTACGAACGTTTAAATTCTATTACTGAATGCAGCCAAAATAGATACATAGTAGATACAACATATGGATATTGGAACATATTTGGAGAAGTACTACAGCATAAAATATTATATTTCCAAACAAACATAATAAATGCCCTAAAAAGTCTTTATTATGGAACACATAATGGTAATAAATTGTTCAGTCATTCAAAGTTTAAATAACATTGAACTAACGAAGTTTTTACTTAAAGCCATCCTTACAATTCGTGTTTGGCAACAAACCAACAGTTGCTTTTGATTAATACATTTTCATTATTATCACCTGTAACCTTGATATTTAATTGGGTATCAACTTTCCTTTGAAATACTTTCTAAGATCCGTGTCACAATAACAAAAATATTGTTTTGCATATGGCACCTTTCATGTCTTTAATATGTTAATACATATGCAATCGTCTTGGAGAAAGGTGATAACATGATTTCGATTTAACGACTTATAATTTTTCAAATTGACATGATAATAGTGCCCTAATTATAGATTTACTTTATAATAAACATTTCTATAGACAGAGGCGCTGAAGGAATGGAATGAATGCAAAAGGAACTGTGTGAAAAAAATGGCAAAGTATATTTTCTTTTGTATAAATATATGAATACTGATTGGGTACATAACAATAAAAAAGTAAATTAATATTTTTTTTCATATATTTTATCACATGTTTTTTCTCTTTATTAAGGGATTAAGCTAATTCAAGCAAATCATGTCAAATGAAGTCAAACAACATTCTTCGATACCAGAAATCTTGGTATGCAAAAGACATCAAATCGTACAAACAAGATTGCTAACTAAAAATGTGAGCGGGGGCTCCGTCATGCAGTAACAATATATTTACATTTAATGGCAAGTCTTCCAATAACTCCAGCAAGCGATTTTGAAAAACATCTAGATATGAAGCACCGTCTAAGCGTCTAGGCAATTCAAAAGGTCCTATTAAAGTGTCATTAACGATACAGGCCCTCATGTTCACTGAAAACTGTTGCTGAAAGGCACCGCGACGTATTTCGTGTGAATTTTCGATAGTCCAGTGGTGAGTGTTGTGAACGTCACGTATACCATTTCGACTGACACATGCTTCATCTGTAACAAGTATTTGCGCTGTAAATAGAGGATTTCTTGCATGTTCCTGAAGCAACCATTCGCAAAAACCTCGACGTAGTGGAAAATCCTCAGGAGTAAGCGCTTGAACATGTTGAATATGAAATGGGTACAATTGAGCTTCTCGTAATGTCCTCCACACAACAGGATGCGAAATATTTACTTACTGTGCCATATTTTTGGTGCTACGATGCGGATCTTTTGTAACCTGAGGGGTTATTTCTTTAATTATCTATCCACCGTTATGACCAGTACCATAACGAGTCTGGATTTCAAAGAGTTTACTATTTAATTCTCGAAAGGGAGTTTATAATTATCATAATACTTTAATTAATACGTGGGAACTTAGAAACGTTGTATGTTCAGAGAATGAATTTCAGGCACTTACCCTCTATTGCTTATGTAGAATGTAATCCAGTGGCTGGCTGCACAGGGTGACACTGAAGTTGAGAGAAACAAAAGGAAACCTCAAAACTTACAGGAAGGGTTTTAATAACAATAAAAAAAACAAACAAACAAAATAACAACACAACGATTCGAACAACATTATTAATTAATTTATTGACACGCGACAGCGTACCGAGATTCAGGGAATGCGAGATCCATAGCAAAATTTGGAAAAAACTTTATCACTAATTAAATTTAATTAACTTGCCCGAGACTCTAAAACTAAGTCAACTGCCCAATTTGGAACATGAGGAAGAACTGACTTTTTCTCGTAGATCTTTTCCGAATTCGACACTTCGCTTCGACACGCCCATTTCTTGGGTCCAGAAGTTTCTGTTGTTATCTTATTGGCGGGAACCCTGAATGTCGGGACGCTTTGGCATAACTATGCCATGTTAATAATTACCTAATTGACTGGACTTACAAACAACCCTATACCTTCCTCTTGTGACTCCGCATAGCAATACGGGACGGATTAGCCATCTCATTTAATATTTTCTTATAGCTTGGAAAATCCGTCTAAAAACCAGTTATTATTATTTTCCTGACAACATTCTAACAACTTATTATTGGAATTCCTACGTTCTATGGAATGCATTTCGCGCGTTATTTGAAATATCGATTTTTTTTCTTTGTACCAGATGCTCAACACATGGCCCCGACAGTCTAAGTGGACTTGTTAAAAAACATATTCCCGGAAGGACGAGCTTGGCGACGTTACCTACTTGAAACCCATTAACTTTCCGATAAATTAATGTTAACTGAAACATTTTACTTTTTGGCCCATCCGTTCCGAGAACTAACAAATAAATTACTACGCGTCCCGGCTTTTGTTACATCTCTTCGACGAGATCTAAAAACATCTCCTCGACATTTAAGATTCTTAGTGGTCGCCCTGGGCCACCGTCGCGACCTCGACGCTAACTCACCGGCGTCCTAAACTCTTTGCGCTACAGCAACAACTGTTCGCAGTGCGGTGGCACGTCGTTCAGGATATCTTGCACGGTATACTTGACAAGCTCTGTGGGCATTTTCGTTTGCTTCACCATAAATTATCATAATATTCGCGATTGCTAAATAAATGCGCCATTTTCAAAAGAAAACTTGGACATACGGCTATTAAATGTACTCTCGAAAAACAGCACAGCAATCACTACAACAATGTATTACAAACTGACTTTAATACAGTCCAGCTTCATAAGAAACCTAAAAACTCGTAAAAAGTGTTACAGAATTTTTGTGAGTACTCGCCGGATAAAATACATGTACTT